TTCTCCGTCCCTCATGCCCTGGGGTCGCCCTGGCTGTGGTGTCCTGCAGGAGAGAGCCGCCTCGCCGTGCTTCTCTGTCTCTTGTGCCCTGGAGTCGCCCTGGCTGTGGCCTCACCACACTTGTCCGTCCCTCATGCCCTGGGGTCGCCCTGGCTGTGGTGTCCTGCAGGAGAGAGCCGCCTCGCCGTGCTTCTCTGTCTCTTGTGCCCTGGAGTCGCCCTGGCTGTGGCCTCACCACACTTGTCCGTCCCTCATGCCCTGGGGTCGCCCTGGCTGTGGTGTCCTGCAGGAGAGAGCCGCCTCGCCGTGCTTCTCTGTCTCTTGTGCCCTGGAGTCGCCCTGGCTGTGGCCTCACCACACTTGTCCGTCCCTCATGCCCTGGGGTCGCCCTGGCTGTGGTGTCCTGCAGGAGAGAGCCGCCTCGCCGTGCTTCTCTGTCTCTTGTGCCCTGGAGTCGCCCTGGCTGTGGCCTCACCACACTTGTCCGTCCCTCATGCCCTGGGGTCGCCCTGGCTGTGGTGTCCTGCAGGAGAGAGCCGCCTCGCCGTGCTTCTCTGTCTCTTGTGCCCTGGAGTCGCCCTGGCTGTGGCCTCACCACACTTGTCCGTCCCTCATGCCCTGGGGTCGCCCTGGCTGTGGTGTCCTGCTGGAGAGAGCCGCTGCACCGCCATGCTGCTTGTCATCTGTGCAGCCTGAATCTAGCAGCACTCCCTTTTTAGATGCTGGCTGGGGCCCCGTTGTGAGGAGTCGCTCACTTTTGGGGAGCTGGGCCTGCCTGAATGCTATTACATATCTGTAAATGATGTATATTAAAGACTGTTGAAGACACTTATAAGTAGAGCAAGAAAAAATGAAATTACATTCGACAAAGCATGTTAGCGTTTGCTGTGTTTTAAAATAACTGGTTCTTTTGTAATATGTTTCACAAACAGGGAAGAAGTTTGTATATGTTGAGCCATCTAGGAGAGTTAAAGAAATACTTGAAGAAGAGCTTTATTTTCGGAAAGAAGAATGCCACATTAAACATCCAGCTGCAGGTAATTGACAGTATCAGCACATGGAAAGTGTTTGTCAGGGAAAATGAAATTAAAATGTTTTGAGGAACTGTGGTGAAAACGTTGCTAAAAGCACTCCAGAACATTTATTTAATAACCTGGGGAACCTTTAGAACTGAAGAGTTGCATATAGGCTTTATTAGATGTTTTTAGCCTAAACTTGTAGGAGCATAGAGAACACAGATACTTCCATATCAGTTGAATAAAACAGAAGCAAGTATCAAACAGCGGGGAAGTTATGTTACCACATTGTTTGAAGCAAGTGCTGTAGTTATTAGAATCCTGTATCCAGTATTGCTGTTCAAAATTGAAGCTGGTATTGAAAAGAAAATGTTGAGATAAGAGTGATAAGAACAAATAAAGGACAGGAAAACAATGAAAACTGTCAGCCTTGTTTAGGCAGCTTAAAGGTTATGGAGAGATGTGATTACAGTAGGCAAAGAAATGTAAGTTGTGTGAGAGGTCAGAGGGTCTTTTGTCTAGAGACAAAAGTATTACAGGCTCCAAGAACTGGTGCTAAAATCAAAGCAGAAATAGTAATTTTTAACAAATAAGGTGCTTAATGCTGGAACAATTTAACAATGATCAATTAGGTTCTGCACTTTTAGTACAAATTTTGAATATTTTCCACTTCAGGTTTTAGGCCTGGTCCAAACTCATTTACTAGTCCTGAGGATGGAATTAGTATGTAGCCCTGTGACCCGTGTAGGATGTTAATGTACATCAAGAGATGGTGGTTTCGTGCAGCCATAATATCTATTAATCTAATTTTAAAAATGTATTTTTCAGAAATGTGTAATGTTTAAGGATAGGATAGCTTATCTGGTTGACTGTCAGGTCTCACTGCCTTTATTGCCACTCCAGGTACCTTGGCGTATAGTCCAATGAGTAAAGCTGGTTATTGCACAACTTGCCTTGTTAGTTTGTTCTACTGGTTGGTGTGTTAAGAATTCATACCTGGTTTCTAATTTTGGTATGCATGACTCAACTTCTTGCTTTTCTTAGTTATAGTGGTTTTTTTAGTATCCCGGATTTTCTTTCAGAGAATTAACTTATTTGCTGTAATGAAAGCAGCTAATATTCAGTGTTTAATAGGTTAAGCGGTTTAAATTCTTAACATCTCTCTGTGTAAACATTTTGTTTAGCACTTAATTTGGTCTCTTTCTGTACTCTCGCCAATTGTCTTGCCTCCTCTTTTAAAATGTAAATACCAAATCTGATCGTGTTATTTCAGTATTGGTATCACCCATGGCCTGTACAGAGGGAGAGTCGTGTACTTCCGTTAACCTTTCTACTGGTATCCAGAAATCACATTAGCGCTAGGGCCTTGAACTATTTGTTGACCGTTGCTCGTAAAGCCTTTATACTGTTTCTCCACAATATGCTGTTCCCACTCTGTAGGGAAGGTTCTCTTCCTTAGAGTAAAGCTGTTTATTGGATATATTAGAGTGCGTTTTGCTGGAATAAGCCCACCGTTATCTCTCTTAATCATTACATCCTCCATAAGTGTAACAGAAGCATTTTATCTTTATTTCTAAATTTGGAAGATCTGGAAAAAAGTGTTGGAAAAAAGTCTTCGCAATTTCTCTCATGCAGGATTGAGACCCAAGTGTGAACTTAACTAAAAATGATTTTAAACAGTTGGATTCACAGGTGAAAATGTACAATATTTAGGTGATGTAATCAGTATCCTATCAGGTGTAATGACTATTAGAACCTGCAACTCCACAACTATGATTCATTTTTTTATAGGTAGTATGGCACACACCTTGAAATGAACTGCTTATGTAGGTAGGCTCTGTTTATAGTAAATGGAGAGAAAAAGGCACTTTGAAAACATAATTCCTCTGACGTAACGTAGACATCTATCTTTGCATGAATCAAGCTGTAAAATCCCTGTTCTTTTTTTATTGACTGTAAAGGGGATCTGGACAACTAGCTCAATTACCGATGTTAACTTTGGTCTGATGATGCTGTTCATGTTATCTAATGTCACTAAGAGCTTAACACATCTATGTTTCACTGTGCTCATCAGCCAGTGGATCAAAAGTATCTGGATGATTTCAATCTGATCGTATGAATGGATGCTACCATATATGTTCTCCCGATTTCTGGACATCCCGTCGTGAAACGTATGTGACAGAGGCTTAAATTAGTTCAGATAAAATAGAACCAGTACAAAAATATTCTTTACAGGGTTTACCGCTATCTATAATAAGGTCAATTAGATGGTGGTGTGCATGTTGTTCAGCAACTGCCTGGTTCCTTTTTCATCTCCTGTATGCATCTGGAGAATAGAGATGCTCCCTAAGTGGTCTGGGCTTTGATAAAAGCTAATTGTTCGGGTTGGGCAGTTACTGATTTACACATTGTAGATGGTTAGTAAGAAGGTTACTGTTTTACTAAGATTAGTAAAATGTAACCTTGCTACAAAATAAATTGGCTTTTGTTGTTGTTGTTCTGCTATCTTTAGGGAGAATTTGTGAGGACATTTGCTGTTCCTGTATGACCAATATATCATAAATGGATGTATTTATGGTATAACTAGTATTTCGTGTTCATCATAGATCAGCTGCGCCCAGCTTATGTTAGGAGCGTAGTAGTCCTAGGCTGTTGTATAGACAGTACAGAGAGATGTGCATCTTTAGCGATATGAATTGCTCTCTGAAGAAGCCTTTCATTGACTATGAAGGAATATTATGGTGTTGTCCTTAACTATTTCCAATTATGGTATTGACCAAAGGGATTGTCTTTAAAAAGTTACATTAATTCTGGACCAAGTTGGAGTAATCAGTTATAATGGTATTATTTTAACAAATTATTAACAGTGGCTCTGGAAGGAATTTGGAGTGTGAAAAAGAATTTCTCCATGGGAGGCCTGAAACCAGCATCACAGAACAGAAACAGTTTACTTTTACAACCTAAATTCTACTCGAGGCATGAAGGAATGAAAAGTAAGAGTCAATAATAAAAAATTTTTGCTGTAACACCTGATTTTAAAATAGCAGGGTGATACTATTTTATAACTCATAGACATCTTCTTACTGGACTGCAGATCTATTTTCTCTAAGGCCATAGCTCATCTCTTCCTTTCACACTTCAGATCTTTGCCTAAGAAACCTGTTCAGGACTGCTATGTTCAGTCACCTTATCTCATATCCTGAAACCTTGCTAAAACATGCAGAGTAATCACATGTTTCTTACTGACGGTCAGTGACTTTTATGCATAGATAGTGAACCTTGCATTTCTTAACATCCTGCCTTAACCAGTTCAAATGTTTGCATACCTACAGCTGTAATAAGCCTTCCTCCAACACAACAACTGAAAAGAGATGGCTCTGAGTATGATTTCAGGCATCTTAGCATTTGCCTGCTGTGGGGCATGTAGTTTTTAAACTCACTGGGATGTAGCTTTTGCAAAGTGGCCCTGTTCTTTCTGAGCTGGTAGATCCTAGCATACTCTTTCTCAATGCGCCCAGCTTCTCTCTTTCTTGGAAATACATTAACTCTATAGAGGAGAGAGAGAGAGTTTCTGATCCAAAGGAAATGCAGAGTTCATAAGCTTTATGAGAAGAAAATTGTTCATGCCGTAAGCTTGCAGAATATATGAACTTAGCATATTTTGCAGTTAAATACGGCTCCTTCTCACATTCTTGGACCGGTGGTGTTAAAATATGACTGGCTGCATGACTTCCCTTTCAGCACCTCTTTTCTCCTATCTTGATCTTGTGAGCTCTGGAGATAGTGGCATCTTAAGAACTAGCCCTTTTTGGCCATAAGTGATTGACTAACACACAACTAAGACATCCTGGGTACATCTAATTTCCGTTTTCTTTCTTCCCTTCAAAGTTAGCATTCTGTACTCTACAGAATTTTCTAGAGTGGGTTTAGATACACTGTACTACCTTATCTAGCTATCTTAAAATGAGATATAATTCTGAGCCAAAATCATTTAAAAAAATCCCTTCAGCATAAGATATGTGCTAATTTGTCTTGTTTCGGTATGCACTTTTTCCTTAGGATAGGCTTCATGAAAAGCAGCATCTTCATTTTTGAAGAACACTGAGCAGGGCAGAAGCACCTGTGATTATCAGACCTACAGCAGTCGTTTCTTACAAAAAAACTTCCCAATTTCAAAAGTATAAAATGCTTATACTATACCAGTTAAACAATAAAATAGTAAAGGTATCTACATGGGCATCTATCAGCATTGCAACTGGAATGGGTGAATATGCAAGGGCTCTGCAACCAGATCTATTTGTCTGAAGTTTCATACTACTAGCGAATCATATTTCTAATTTTGTTGGATTATCCGAATATGGAAGTTATATGAGTGTAATTACAGCAGTAGCCTGAATTAAGTTACTATTAGTATAAGATGTGTTTAACCCAGTATAGCATTCTGCCATGGCTGCCTTTATTCTAGGGGTAGTACTTGGAGAAATATTTTGGTTATAGAGCAGACCTAATATATGTCAGATATTAACTGCAGTCACCTGTGGTATGAACTTAAGCGAAATAAATCTTAGTCAAAACATAGATAATATAGTCAAAGAGTGCCTCGGAGCTCAGAGACGTAGGTATAATTTTAAAAGTCGTGTTCATAAGGCTTCCAGTAAAAGCACACAGAGTTTTCAAGGATCCTGATTGCCTCCATTTCCCATTAAGTTCCATAAGAGAAGCACAGCTTTAAAATCAAGCAGTTTATTCAAGTTGATTTTGGTGCTGAAATGCATGATATCTATTGGTTTTCCTTTTGGGATCCAGATGTCTGTTTAGTAGCAGTCCCTAGAAACAAAGGTACAAGTGATGTGTCTCCTCAGTAGCTATACTGAATGTTCTACAGCACAACAGGCAGGTAAATAAGAGAAGGAATGGCAGAAAAGATACAGAAGAGAAGAAAAAGTGGAAGCAAACTGGCTTCAGCTCCTATACTCACGAGTCCATTTCCGTTCACATACCCTCTTCTGTGAAAGGAACTGAGGCAAAAATGAAGTGATAATATACCAAGAGAGTGAGAGATGGATAGGTACAGGCTATGGAAGAACTAAAAAGAAAAGAGGTTTCTAGAAAGGAGATGAATCTACCAGCTTTAGAGCAAGGAGAATAGGCATACCCCAAAGGAAAAGGAAGAAACATTGACAAGAGGAATGAGAGAACAGACATAGAACAAAAGGTTAAGAATTTCTGAATGAAACTGGAGATAGGAGAACCAGAGAGAAGAACACAGTTCAGCAGCGCAGAGATAAAAACTTATAAAAATTAAGAGAGTATGCCCATGCTGCTGAATTTCATGAAATTAATGCATTTATTTTTACTTCTTCCTTTTATTGCCTTTCCCTAAAATCCATCCTGTAGGATACATTTTAAGTGACTAGTGGTTGTGGGGGCTTCACTATGTAGGTGTCTCACCTGTCCTCGTAGAGGATCTTGTATTTTGCAGGTTACTGAACTTTTGTCCCGTTTGATTTCTGAAAACAAACAGCCCAAATCACTAGCTGCCTTTGGAAATGTAGATCTATATTTCTAAGATTTGAAGAAAGTTCTGCTTAGATAAGGGGTTATTGCTTCTCCCTTTGTTGTTGTTTTATTCATATCTTTGTGCTGCCTTCCTTCAGCTGTAGTATCCAAATATGATTAGTATTTCAGTCAGTGATGAAGATGTCACAATCCAAGAGTCACTAAATTAGGCGCTAAATAAGTCACTTGAGGACAAAAATGTGCTGCTGTGAAACTTGGCGTTTTTATACGCTTCTGTGTTGTAAAATGATTCTAACTTCCAGCAGAAGATTGTAATATAATTGTAGAGATACCTTATTCTTTAGGCTGAGTTCGTTTATTAAACCCAGCAGCTCATAGGCCAAGAGTTTGTGGTTCACTATCTAATGTGATTTAATAAAAGCTTAACATAAATAAGCCTGTGATGTCTGTGTTTACACAACATAGCTACCTTTGTGTTAAAGAATGATAGAAACAACATGGAACTGGAAATAACCTGTCACTTAATTCGCACTCTAAAGCATTATTGCAGTAACGTGATACTGAATGATCATTAATAAGTATTTTTGAGTTATCACAGCACTTAGAAGGATCCATGATTGTTTTCTAGGTAGTGCACAAACACAGAACAACAATTAGTTTTGAAAAGTCATGGGTGATGGGGGGAGGTTCCTGAGGACTGCAAGAAAGCAAATGTTACTGCTCTCTTCAAGAACGGCAAGAAGGAGATCTGGGGAATTACAGGCTGGTCACCCTTATCTTGATTCCTGGGAAGGTGCAAATAGTCCTAGAAACTGTTTCCAAACATATGAAGAACAAGAAGGTGATTGGGAGTAGCCGGCATGGATTCATAAAGGGGAAATTGTGCTTCACTGACTGGATGGCCTTCTATAATGAGATGGCTGGCTTGGTGGACAAGCGGAGAGCCATGAATGTTATCTTGTTTTTTTAGCAGGGCTTTTGGTGCTGTCTCCCATAGCTTTCTCCTGCACAAATTGATGAATTACCGGCTAGATAAATGGTCGGTGAAGTGGACTGGAAGCTGGCTGAACGGCTGGGCTCACAGGGCTGTGATCAGTGGCACCAAATTGAGCTGGAGACCAATCACTAGTGATGTCTCCTGGGGACTGATACTGGGTTGAATACAGTTTTTCTTCATTAATGACCTGGATGATGGGACAGAGTGCACCCTCTGCAAGTTTGCAGACAGTACAAAACTGAGGGGAGTAACTGATAAAGTGGATGGTTGTGCTTCCATTCACAGGGATCTTGACAGGCTGGAGAAATGGGCCAACAAGAACCTCTTGAATTTCAACAAAGGGGAATACTGAGCCCTGCACCTGGGGAGGAATAATCCTGTGCACCAGGACAGGCTGGGAGAACTTTGGGAAGAGTGTTGCCTGCAGGGTGAGGGAGGTGATCCTTCCTCTCTACTCAGTACTGATGAGGCCACACCTGGAGTGGTGTGTCCAGTACTGGGCTCTCCAGTACAAGAAAAGGTATGGATTTACTGGAGCGAAGGGCCATGAAGATGATTAAGGACTTGGAGCATCTGTCATTCAGGAAAGGATCAGGGAGGTGGGATTGTTTAGCTTCGAGGAGAAAAGACTCCGGGGCAATCTGTAATGAAGGAGGGACAGGCAGAGTGCTTGTTGGGTTGAGAAATGAAGCTCCCATGATGGAGAAGGCCGGAAGCTTGTGACTTCTGGCACCAGGAAGAAGGATCCTTTTCTATCTGCAGATCAGCAGCTATAGAATAGGTTCAGGGCTGTGGTAGCAAATCACAGAATCGTTTAGGTTGGAAGGGACCTCTGGAGATCATCTAGTCCAACCTCCCTGCTCAAGCAGGGGCCTCTAGAGCATATTGCCCAGGATCACATCCAGACGGGTTTTGAATATCTCCAGGGAAGGAGACTCCCCAGCCTCTCTGGGCAACCTGTTCCAATGCTCTGTCACCCTCACAGTGAAGAAGTTTCTCCTCAGGTTCAGATGGAACTGCCTGTGGTTCAGTTTCTGCCCATTGCCTCTTGTCCTGTTGCTGGGCACCACCGAGAAGAGGCTGGCCCCAATCTCTTGACCCCCTCCCTTTAGATAGTTGTATACATTGATTAGATCCCCCTTAGTCCTCCATTCTCCAGGC